GCGGCCTCCTCCCGAGCGGCTTCCTCGGCCTGGTGGGCTCGGGCAGCCTCCTCCCGAGCAGCTTCCTCGGCCTGGCGAGCCCGGGCGGCCTCCTGGGCGGCCTCCTCGGCTTCCCGTAGGCGATCCGCGGCCTCTCGCCGGTCAGCTTCCCGCCTGCGGGCCTCTGCGGCCGCCGGATCCTCGGCCTCAGGCTGGCCGGACTTGGAATGGCGGGAGGGACGCGACGGGATCTCGCTGAAACAAAAGAAAAGACCAGAAGACGAACAAGATGGGCGAATGAAAACTCATGTTGAGAGAATGAATACAGCCATGATGGGTGAGAGACGAACCTGCGAGGGGGTCGGTTAAACGACCACTTTGGAGGGGAAATGAGGTTTCCCCGAGATGGTTCTGTCTCCTCCATCTTGCGGAGCCGCTTCTTCTTGCGCTCCCCCTCGAGCTGCGATGCTGGCGCGGCCCCCTCCGGGCGCTTGCTGCTGGCACGCGCCGCCCCGCCCCCTCGGGGAGGAGATGGGGGAGGTGTTCCTCCCTGCTTCCTCTTCCCCCGGGCGTCGGCAGGGCGGCTGCTCCCCGGGCCCCTGACACGGGACCCAGAAGCACGACCCCCTCCCGGGGTAGATTGCTCCCCCCGGCGGCTCCCGCCTGCGCCGTCATGGCCCTTTGGAGCTCGCTCCTCAGAGGCCCCGACCCCCATCATAATGGTCAGGATGGAGGCGCGGTCTGGATCGCTGCAGAGGGGGAGGATTCCTTGGGGAATGAGGGCCGCTTCCACGGAGTTGAGATTCAGCACCCGTTGGACCAATATCTTGAAGTCCTCAGGAGCCCAGTCCCATCTCACTCCCTGGTAGGTCCTCATGAAGTCTTCAGACCCGGTGTACTCCCAGGCGCCCCGAGCGCGCCGCTGGAGCGGCGCAATCCGACGACGGAGGTAGTCGCCATACACCATGGCCCCTGTGAGCCCCTGGGATCGCAGGCCCGCCAGACGGTCGAGGACGGCGTCATAGCCATCCCCCAGATCTACCAGCGCCCGCCAGCTGGAGGCCTGCGCCGGGGGCTGGCTCGGAAGTCGGAGGCGCGCTTCGTCGGCGAGGGGAGTGTAGAACCAGTCGCTCTTCCAGTCGTCCCACTTCTTGCGGAGGGCGCAGGGGATGTAGCGGTTCAGCGCCGGTCCCCGTGGCTGGAAGTAGCAGCCACCGACTACCGATGGCGGCGACACCGACTGCACGGTGAAGAACCACCGGAACAGCCGAAGAGATGGGCGCACCCCAATGAACATCTCGCACAGATGCGCGAAGATGGCCAATGTCATCACCGCGTTGGGGGTGAGGTGCGCCATCTGGAGATCGTAGAACTCCAGAACATCCATGAAGAAAGAAGAAAATGGCGGAACCAGCCCTGCCATTGCAAAAGGGAGAAAGAAGACGGACCGCCCCGGGTAGTCTGGCGCCGGGCGTCCCTCGCCCAGCGTGACTATCTCCCGGCCGGTGGCAGATTCCGGCATGAAGCGGCGCGGCAGCCCAGCCTGCCTCTCGCCCACGATGCGGGAGGGCGGCAGCACGCTACCATCGAGCAGAGCGGAGCCCCGTGCCATGGCGCCGGAGGAAGAGAAGATTAAGAGCGAGCGCGTGTGGCGAGGGTAGGGCGCAGGAAAGAAGGAGTTAGGGCGCAAGCGGCAAAGACAAGGGGAATAATGGCGAAAGGAAGGAAACAAATCCCTTCCTCAGTGCCTTTATACCCTTGCCAACGCTGTGCCCGGCTCCTCGTTTCTCGCGCCCACTATTTCGCCCCCTCGTTTCTCGCGCCCACGCTTCCACTAATCCCATTCGCCCGCTTGCGGCGCATAAGGTGGATATGCGGTTGTGGCAGTCGAGGTAGATCATATCGTGCGCGCGTTAATTACGCTCGCCAACCGAGGCGGCGTTACCATATCTCCAGATGAAACGAATCGCCATGTCCAGATTCGTGTGCTACTCGAGTAATGTGGCAGTCTTGAAGAGACCGCTCATTATTGACAGCCGAATTACCACTGCCGATGTGCATGATTTGTGACCGTTGGGTTTCTGCCCAATCGTGGAGACCGGTCCCACCTGTCACCAGGCCTTAGGAGTGGCGTCACGCCCGACCGCTTCCCTTGAGGAGGGCGATCGCCCTGGCATAACGCCGGGGGCTACTGTCGGTGACATGGGATCGGGAGTATCATGACTAGAGGTTTGAGGCAGACACAATCGCCCACGTGGCCTGGCATCCTCGGGGGACATCGAGCCCGAGGGTGATGTGTTCGCCCTCCTCTTAGTCCCCCTGTGGGGGTCGGGCTGCACCCCCCTCGGCCCCGAGGGCCGAGGCGCCCCGACCCCTCGTGGGTTTTTTTTGCTCCGCGTGTATGGGTTAGGTGAGCACAGTGGGGGCTCACCTAACCACATTTATTGCGGGTTGGCTGAGCGTGTCACGCCGCATGTAACGCAGTGCAGTGCACTCGTTTATCCGGTCTGTGACCAGTCACAGACCGGTCAGATCGCGGGTTAGGTGGCGACAGGCGGTCTGACGCACGCCTCGCCCCATCCCGTCAGGACGAGGGCTTCTAGGCGCTCGTCCCCAGCTGGAGCTAGCGTGTTACCTCCCAGAGATGGCACGTTAGTCCTGGTCAGATATATGCCAGGCTTCATCCTAACCATTACAGGCAAAATGTTGTGTGAAGAAGGGCCAACGTGCAGATTGCTAAGCTGACACGTGGTGGACAAGAATGACCGACGTGACTGGTCTGACTCCGGTCATGTCGTCAGCAGGCAGCCATGATCCCGCGTCGCGCCTGCTCCCGGCGAAAGTGGAGGTAGGTGCGGGCCGTCCCATCAGAAGGTGACTCGAACGGCAACCATGCAAATCTCCGTCTATTTGTGAAAAGGTGGGGGAAATCCCCACAAAGGGGGGGATGGTGCATGTGGTATCCCCTTAAGATATAAATGGAGGACCTTGCCCACGGAGAGAGGGGGAGTTTTTTCTTGGACTGGACCTTTCCAGATTAGGAACCCAGAACAAGGGAGAGGCTGGCTCATACTTTGTAGCTCTTTCATACACAGATCTCCCAAAACACAGGAGTAGGGTATTACGCTTCTCAGCGGCCCGAACCTGTATACATCGCCGGTGTCTTCTGTGCTTCCTGTCTCGCGAACCTTCCACATACAGATTGGGAGTTTAGAGTCTCACCCAGGGTCCCCGGCCGAATCGGCAAAGGGGGGCCAGCGCGGTCTCCCGGTGAGGAGCCCCATGCTCCGTCAGTAGGGGTAGGGTTTGCGTGCATGCGTTCATAGGGGTGAGTGCGTGTGCGTTGTGAGTGTCTGCGTTTTACAAATTAAATTAATCTATTTCTAAAAAAATAATTAATCATCCGGTAGTGACTCATTCAGATTTCTCAAAATTTTAATTTCCTCTCCTCTTAAATAACGAATGGATGAATTATTAACTACTACCTCCGTTTCAGGTTAAAAAACTTTCTAGCATTGTCCATATTCATATACTCTATCTATAGTTGGCCATAAGGCCCGAGGCCCGAAGGCCCGGCCCACGGCACGCCTTTTTGGCCCGGCCCAAGCACGGCACGGCCCGACTTGGGTCGGGCCCGTGCTGGCCCGGCCCGACCGTCGGGCCGTGCCTGGGCCTCCCCACCGGCACGCTGGGCTGGCCCGGCACGGTCGGGCCGGCCCGGCACGATGGGCCGGCAGGCCAGGCCCGGTACATAAAGTATGGGGACTAAAAATAGACATATAAATGTAACTGTCTAAAGAATAGGGACCTTAAATAGACTTATTTTAGCTATTTATATACCCCAGCCCAAAGAAGAGGGAGGTAAAATAGACTTTTTGTAGCTGTACATATGTCACAGCCCAATAGGAGGGAGGAAATTTAGACTTATTCTGAGGAAAAGCACGACGGCCCATCGTGCCTTCGGGCCGGCCCGGCACGGCCCGAGGCGTGTTGGGCCGTGCCTGGGCCGTGAGTGCGGCACGTGGGCTGGCACGGCACGGCCCGGTGCGTCGGTCGGGCCGTGCCGGCCCGACAAGCCTCGGCCCAGGCACGGCCGGGCCTGGGCCGTGCCGTGCCGGGCGGCCCACATGGCCAACTATAACTCTATCCGTCCCTAAATATTTGACGCCATTGATTTTTTTAAACATATTTGACCGTTCGTCTTATTCAAGAGCGTTTGTGAATATTATTCAAAAACTTGAGTAGTAGTAGTATATTTAATAATGAATCAAATGATATGAAAAGAATTAATAATTACTTAAATTTTTTAAATAAGACGAACATTTAAAAAAGTCAATGGTGTCAAATATTTAGAAACGGAGGAAGTATATGTTAATGAATCTTGATACACATATATTTTTAGATTTATTAACATATATATAAACATGGTCAATGTTAGAAGTTCTTATAATTTGAAACGCTTTTCTTTCTGGCACTAATAGCCTGAGCGGGAAAGTGAATTCATCCCTCGAGGGGATATCTGCTCGTTTCGTGCATGTCATCTAAATAGTCATAAAAAATATAAAAAAATTGGCAACATAGATTAATATGAAATATATCACTCCACAAACATACAGGTTTAAATTCAACTTCTACAAGTTGTAACAAAAATAACAAATATAGTTGTGAATGTGCCATAACTATTTTCAGTTTAATTTGTTATTTTTGTTGCAAATTATAGAAGTTGAATTTGGTATTTCATGTTTGTGGAGTGATATATTTTGTATTAATCTATGTTGTTAATTTTGTTCAAAATTTTTTATAACTATTTAGATGATATACAAACAACGAGAAAATGTTCCCTCGATTGATGAAAATCCCTATCCTAGCCTGAGCTGACATTACTCTAAGAAAGATACTACTAGGAATAGTCGAATAGGAACAAACTAATATTGGCAAATGAACCGGAGCCATATCTGCAAACAAAAACGGCAGGGCCCTAAAAATAGGAGACGTTAACTCGCTCCACTCCTGGTTCACATTCATTCCACCATATACGCGCGCGTTACCACCTTTTGACCGATCAAATTAACGTATACTCCATGGCGAGGACGGCGGCGGCGGCGGTCTCCGACGACGACGACGATGGCCCGCCGGCGTACACCGTGCCACGGGGCCCCCGCCGTGACCCCAGGCTCAAGGACCTCGGCATCTCCTGCATGCTCAACACCGAGGTGGCCGCGCTCCTCGCCGTCATCCGCCGCCGCCCGGACCCCTACTCCTACCTCCCGCCGGCGGTCGCCGCCGCGGAGGAGGCGACGTTCGCCGGGCTCATCCAGTCGCTGAAGAACCTGCGGGGGCTCCTCTTCCAGCCCCGGCACGGTGCCTGGCGCTGCTCCGACCCGGCCATGTACCTGAAGCCGTTCCTCGACGTGGTCCAGAGCGAGGAGTCGCCGCCGGCGGCCACCGGCGTGGCGCTGTCGTCGGTGCTCAAGATCCTGAGGATCGACGTGTTCGACGAGTGCTCCCCGGGCGCCCGCGACGCGATCCAGGCGGTGCTGACGGCGGTGAGCAGCTGCCGCGTGGAGCGCATCGCCGACCCGGGCGCCGAGGAGGCCGTCCTCCTCCGCGTGCTGCAGGTGCTCGCCGCGCTGCTCCGCGCCCGCGCCGCGCCGCTCCTCTCCGACCACGCCGTCTGCAACGCCGTCAACACCTGCTTCCAGGTGGTGCAGCACGCCGCCAGCGGCCGCGGCAGCGAGCTCCTCCAGCGCACGGCGAGGCACTGCATGCACGAGATCCTCCAGGCCGTCTTCGCCCGCCTGCCCGACATCCCGGCCGCCGACGCCGCCGACGCCGACGACCTGTCCGTGGCCGGCTTCGGCGCGCGCTGCATGGCCGACATCTTCAACTTCCTCTGCACGCTGCTGCTCAACGCCCCCGACATGGTGGCCACCGGGGACGGCCACGGCGCGTTCATCACCGAGGAGGACGTGCAGCTCTTCTCCCTCGTCCTCATCAACTCCGCCATCGAGCTCGGCGGCGAGGCCATCGGCAAGCACCCCAAGCTTCTCCGCCTCATCCAGGACGACCTCTTCTACCACCTCATCCACTACGCCACTGAGTCCAGCCCTCTCGTCCTCTCCATGATCTGCAGCACGGCTCTCAACCTCTACCACTTCTTGCGCCGGTAATAACGAGGAGCTCGATCGCCATTGATTCAATCAATTTATGAAGGCAAGGTGTTCGTCCAGGTTCCTGAAGCTGCAGCTCGAGGCGTTCTTCATGTACGTGCTGCTCCGGCTGTGCGGCGGCGGAGGCGGGGCGCAGCTCCAGGAGGTGGCGATCGAGGGGCTGATCAGCTTCTGCCGGCAGCCGACGTTCGTGATCGAGATGTACGTGAACTACGACTGCGACCCGATGCTGCGGAACGTGTACGAGGAGGTGGGGAAGCTGCTGTGCAAGGCGGCGTTCCCGGCGTCGAGCCCCATGACGACGGTGCAGCTCCAGGCGTTCGAGGGCCTCGTCAACATGCTCACCACCATCGCCGACAACGTCGAGGTCGACAAGGCCCCCGACCACGCCGCCTACGCCGTCGACATCTCCGACTACCGCCTCTTCTGGGTGGAGCGCTGGGACGCCGCCGCCGCCGGCGGCTCCGGCAACAACGAGACGTGGGTGGACTTCGTCCGCAAGCGGAAGCTGAGGAAGAAGAAGGTGGCGATCGCGGCGAACCACTACAACCGCGACGAGAAGAAGGGGATGGAGTACCTCCGGCTGAGCCAGCTGGTGCCCACCCCGCCGGAGCCCCGGAGCATGGCCTTCTTCCTCCGCTACTCGCCGGGGCTGGACAAGAACAAGATCGGCGAGCTCCTGGGCGACCCGGAGGAGCAGAGCCTGAGGGTGCTCAAGGAGTTCACGGAGACGTTCGACTTCACCGGCGTGATCCTGGACACGGCGCTGCGCACCTACCTGGAGACGTTCCGCCTCCCCGGCGAGTCGCAGAAGATACAGCGGATCCTGGAGGCGTTCTCGGAGAGGTTCTACGAGCAGCAGACGGCGGAGGTGTTCGCCACCAAGGACGCCGCCTTCATCCTCTGCTACTCCCTCATCATGCTCAACACCGATCTCCACAACCCACAAGTAGGGGTGCAAGTGGGCTTGTCCGCAAACCCGCTTATAGACAAAATTAGTACGATTTGACCAGCGAGTTATCTATTAATTTGACATATTAATATGTTTATGGATCGACCCACTTGTATATCTAAATGGGTTTATCATTTATTTGACTTACTTACAAGTGAACTCACGGGTTGGCCGGCTTGCATCCTTACCCACAGGTGAAGAAAAAGATGTCGGAGGACGACTTCATCCGCAACAACCGTGCCATCAACGCCGGCAAGGACCTCCCCAGGGAGTACCTCTCCGAGCTCTTCCACTCCATCTCCGGCAACGCCATCACCGTCTTCAGCCAGGCCTCCGCCGCCGCCGAGATGACGCCCACCAGATGGGCCGACCTCGTCAAGCGCTCCCGCGCCATCGACCCCTTCACCCCCTGCGACTTCAAGCACAAGCTCACCCGCGAGGTGTTCGTCACCGTCTCCGGCCCCGCCGTCGCCACCCTCGCCGCCATCTTCGACTACACCGACGACGAGGACATCCTCAACCAGTGCGTCGAGGGCCTCATCTCCGTCGCCCGGATCGCGCGCTACGGCCTCGAGGACGTCCTCGACGAGCTCCTCTGCTGCCTCTGCAAGTTCACCACGCTGCTCAACCCCTACGCCACCACCGAGGAGACGCTCTTCACCTTCAGCAATGAGCTCAAGCCCAGGATGGCCACGCTCGCGCTCTTCACCATCACCAACCGCTTCGGCGAGTCGGTGCGCGGCGCGTGGAAGAACGTCGTCGACTGCCTGCTCAAGCTCAAGCGCCTCAAGCTGCTGCCGCCGTCGCTGGTCGACCAGGAGGGCGGCGCCGGCGCCGCCGTGAGCACGGAGCGGCTGGGACACCGGGCCAAGTCGGAGTCCGGCGTCATCTTCCCGTCGTCGCACCGTGGCGCCGGGACGAGCAGGCACGTGTCCGGCATGATCGGGCGGTTCTCGCAGTTCCTGTCGCTGGACGCCGGCGGCGAGTCGCTGCTGTCGGTGGGGAGCGAGTTCGAGAACAACCTCAAGATCATCCAGCAATGCCGGATCGGGAGCATCTTCACGGAGAGCGGGAAGCTGCCGGACGAGTCGGTGCAGAACCTGGGGCGGGCGCTCATCTTCGCCGCCGGCGGCAAGGGGCAGAAGTTCAGCACGCCGGTGGAGGAGGAGGAGACGGTGGGCTTCTGCTGGGACCTCATCGCGGTCGTCTCGTCGGCGAACGTGCACCGCTTCACCACGTTCTGGCCGCAGCTGCACGACTGCTTCGCCGCCGTGTCCCAGCTGCCGCTCTTCTCGCCGTGCCCGTTCGCCGAGAAGGCGATCGTGGCGCTGTTCAGGGTCGCCGTGAGGCTGCTCTCCGGCGGCGGCGGGGACCGGATGGCGGAGGAGCTGGTGTTCAAGTCGATCAACCTGATGTGGAAGCTGGACAAGGAGATCCTGGACACCTGCTGCGAAGGCATCTCGGAGTGCATCGTGAAGCTGCTGATGGAGTACGCCAGCAACGTGCAGACGCCGATCGGGTGGAAGACGGTGCTTCACCTGCTGTCCGTCACCGGGCGGCACCCGGAGACGTTCGACCAGTCGGTGGCCGCCATGATCAAGCTCATGAACGACGGCGCGCAGGTGGTGACGCGGTTCAACTACGCGGCGTGCATCGAGGCCGCCTTCGGGTTCGCGGCGCTCAAGATCAGCCCGCTCGACATCAGCACCAGGATCCTCCAGCTCATGGCCGACTCCGTCAACTGGCTCATTTTATGGCACAAGTCCGGCTACTCCGACCCGGGCAACGCCTGGAGCAGCTCAAGCTCGTCGTCGTCGGCGGCGGCGATGATGATGATGGAGGACGCGTCGCGGATGGGCAACCTGGCGACGAGCATGTTCATCAAGCTCGCGGAGGCGCTGCGCAAGACGAGCCTAGTCCGGCGAGAGGAGATACGGAACCAGGCGGTGGCGGAGCTGGGCCGAGCGTTCGCCCTGGCCGCCGCCGGCGAGCTCGAGCTGGGCCCGACGGGGTCGCTGGCGTGCTTCAACCTGGTCATCTTCGCCATGGTGGACGACCTGCACGAGAAGACGCTGGAGTACTCGAGGAGGGAGGGGGCGGAGAGGGAGACCCGGAGCATGGAGGGGACGCTGGCGGCGGCGACGGAGCTGCTCGCCGACGTGTTCGTGCTGTTCCTGGGGACGCTGGCGCAGGGGGCGGGGTTCAGGACGTTCTGGCTGGGGGTGCTCCGGCGGCTGGACACGTGCATCAAGTCGGACCTGGCGGCGGGCGGCGGCGCCGGCGTGATGCAGGAGCTGGTGCCGAGGATGCTGAAGCGGATGATCGTGGAGATGAAGGACAAGGGGGTGCTGGTCGCCATGGAAGGAGACGAGCTGTGGGAGATCACCCACATCCAGATCCAGTGGATCGCTCCAGCTGTCATGGAGGAGCTCTTCCCTGATTGATTACTCACTTACTCACTGCAGTTAATTACTAGTGTTATTAAGTTAGAGGTTACTCTGATAACCAATGTCATATATTAAAAAACGGAGACAGTATTATTGTTCAGTCTTTCTTTTTATTCTAACTAGGAATGTACACATTACCTCTATAACCATCTACGAAAGACTATGGCTTAGTTTTGGACTAAAATTAGGAATCAAAGACTAATGAGACTTTTAGCTTTGGCTATAATTGGTTAAGGTATATTCGAAGTTATTTTTACAGCAAATTATAGAAGTGACATATTACATATTAATATATTATATTGATTTTTTTCGAGTTTTTTCATAATCATTTAAATTTAAATGATAATGAAAAAAAAAGGAGAATGTTTCCTTGAGAGTTTGGGACAGTTTTCCCTTCGATTGGGGTGAAGGCAGTGTTTTTTTCTTAAATCAAATCTCAAATCAAGGGATCCTAAAATCACAATACCTGTGTTTCAGATGTGAATGATCTCTCTAATTAGCCAATATATGGGTAAAATGTGTGAGGCATGACATGTTGTCATTTGTTCAGTTATATATGCGCTGAACCTTGATATTTGCCATTGTGGGCACCACTGGCATTTACTGAGACCAAACAATTTGGTTCGGTATTTGGTCTTTTAGTAATTTAGGTCAAGAATGAAATACAATGCAAAATAATCAATACCAAGCTATCCTTTCGATTGGTTCAATTCGGTTTTCAATTATAACCTTTTCTTTTAACTTACTGTTTAAGAGAAAAAAAACCCACAAATTCACAATTAAATAGCGAACGCAGTCGCACGTCAACATCAAAATGGATGAGGCATTGCCGCTAGCTAGCACCTATAGGCTAGAGTTTAGAAATGGTAGGAGAAGAGGTCGGACCACCTAAATTCAAGGATGGGGAGGCATTATGTGGTTATTGCTGGGCTTTTGGTGTGAGAACGCCTGGTAGGGAGCGGGACCATGCATCTATGAGAGGGGTAACCGAATGGAGTGGTGGCTACGAAAGGGAGAGGGGTCTTAGCGGATTGTTGTGGTATCTTTCATGTTAGTTTTTAGGATATATTAATAATTGCTACGATTATATACTAAGTTTTAAGTGATTAGCGGTTGTAATTGTATGGAAGGTATAGATTAGGTTGGTGGGTTGGGCTGTGTTACACTTTGAGCTATATATAGTTTATTTGTCAGTCTGGTTAACCAAGATAATTGATCAAATTAACCATACTAAATTCATTTAGTTACAAATTGTCATTACATGGAAACTATCAAGTCAACAATTGTAAGTAAAGTGAGAGATGGGAAGTGGATGGCTTTATGCCTTCCTCGCTACTGATAGATTTGGCCAATGGAGACGTTCCTGCTAGAGCTAGCGATAGAGACAACGACATGCTCAAGAAAGAGGCAACGCGATAGAGGGAGGTGACAACGTAAGGGGAGTAGGTGGGTGAGGAACTAACAGGCTCAGAGGACAGTGAACGGACACGTAAGGATAGGGGGAGCAAGCGCTTGAGAAACTAGCATGCTCAGAGGACAACGAAACGGATACCGTGGAAGCATCGGGGTGATGAAGTCTGGGTGGAGACCAGGATGGTAAAGCAGGGTGGAGAAAATTGGAAGAAGAGCGTCCGGACTTTCCCTTCCACGTGAAAAACCATAGTTGGGGGATGTGATCTAGAGCCCATGTTCTAGGTGCTATGGATGGGATTTAAAGGCATTTGTACTTTGAGAGCTAATAGTGACCTGTTGGTAAGTTTCAACTAGCAAAGAAAACTGTTTAGAGGTATCCTAAGTAGTAATTTTTTCAACCTAACTTGCAGTTGATTGCAATTATGGCTGTGTTTAGTTCAGCCCAAAGTTTGGATTTTGGTTGAAATTGGAGATGATGTGACTGAAAAGTTGTGTGTGTATGACAGGTTGATGTGATGGAAAAGGACTGAAGTTTGGATCCAAACTTTGGATCTAAACACAGCCTATATCAATTCAAATTATTAAAAGAAAGGATAATTTGAATTTTTATAAAATGTCATTTTTGTTAAGGAGTAAAAATATGGAGTAGATGGATAGTACCCTTTTTTTTTTTCCGAATCCCCCTGATGCGCCTCTCTTTATACTCCGCGTAACGGTCGTTTCCCCCAAATCCCCAATCCTCTCCCCTCCCGTCTCTCATCCTTCTCCCTTTCCAAATTTCAAAATCCATCCATGGCCGGCGGCGGCGGCGGCCGTGGGCGCGGCGCGAGGGTGGCCGCGCCGGCGGGGGACAGCGGCAAGGGCGCCCAGGCGGAGTGGCTGCGGATCTACGACGGGATCGTGGCGATGCTGCGCAAGACGCAGGCGCAGGTGGAGGAGCTCGTCGCGGAGCGCGACCACCTCGCGGCCTTCGTCAAGATCCAGCACGACTTCATGGTCTCCCGCGTCGGCCGCCTCCAGTCCTCCCTGCAGCAGGTCTCTACCCCCCCATCCATCGGCCCCGCGCCGTCTTCCCTTCTAGGGTTTTTCCTCCGCTGATGCCGGTTAGGGTTTTGGTGGGATCCCAGGCGAGGAAGGCGGACGCCATCAGGAAGAGGTATGAGGCGGCCAACATGGAGATCCTTATTGGGGACAAGGAGCGGGAGGCCCGCTCCTACCAGAAGATTGCTGGTAAGAAAGGAACCGCTCCGCCTTCGTCTCCTTAATCGCTTCCTTTCGGGGGATTTTGGAGCAAAATCTCCCCCCTTTTCCGCTTGAAGTGGACAAGATTGGCGTCTTTGCGCCTCTTGGGCATCGGCTTCGTTGATTAGTAGATATTGGGTTCTCTGACTCCTTCCGATCTGTCGTAGCCAGGCTATTTCAATGGCTCCTGGCCATGCTGTCATGTTCTTTCTTAATTGCTGCTTCCAGTGGATGGAAAATGTATCATCTTTAGGCTAGTTCACAACCTAAACATCATGCAGTCTTGTTCAATTACACGGTCTAGATTAAGTATTTGTCGCACAGGTATTATTTTGGCGTTCTCTTCTTTTTATTAGTTTCATCAGGAAACTTGGTGCTGGTATGCCCTTTTCTTTGTGGTTTGAGGTGCTTCCAGTGGAAAAGTTTGTGCCTTTTTATTTGCAATTGCATTGGTCAGACTGATAGATAATGTTGCTGCAAGTTGAGCACAACCTAATCTTGCTTTCTTCTTTCTTTTCTGGCAAAAGGTAGAGGATGGCATTACCAAATTGTGTTTTGTATTCCATCTAGAAGGACATTTTACTGAAAATGGATCTACTATTTGTCTTGAAGACATTGTATATATGCATATTAAGTGGAAATATTGTTCAGGAAAAGGAAGTTTTTGTGAATTTATGTTGTTACTGATTACTGATGTAATTTCCTTCTGTTTCTGAATCAGAACTCACGGAGAATGATTTGGAGGACTTCAGAACTTCTATAGCTGCTTTGGCTGCAGAAAACTATGAACTGAAGGTACATACAAAAACAAGAGCTGCATGTGGCCCTTTTGTAGCTGCTGTAACTAACGAGCATGAGTTCAGCTTGTGCATACCACTAATTTTCCTAATCTTTGTTTCGTGATTCTGCTTGTTTCTATTACTACTAGGAAAAACTGAAGGAAGTGGAAAGGCATGCAGAACTTGCTGAAAACACTGTTGATCACCACATTCACAGTCCAAGAGATTTAAGAGCAGAGTTAAAAAAACTAAAGCACGCCTACAAGACTTTGAGCTCTGAAAAGGAAAAGGAAGTTTCTGCATTACGTGCAGAAAATGATTTTGTGTGGAACCAGTTGAGGACAATGGAGAATGATTATACTGATCTCCTTAAGAAGAAAAAAATAGAGGCAGCACAAGCTACTGAAGCTGCACAAAAGCTTCAGAAGAATTTAGAAGAGCTGCAAGATCAAAATAAGGGCAACGAGATCGGCAGATTACAAGCAGAAGCTGTTGATGCCAAAATGAACATATCAATTCTTGAGGATAAGCTACAGGAAATGCTTTCCTTGGTGAAGGAGAAAGACTTGGAAATTGAACAACTCAAACATGGTCAGCCTATGACCAGTCAGATCAACAAAAAGGATATCAACCAGAAGAACAGAAAATGTAGGTCCCAAGACCCTCCTTCAAGGGACAAATCAACAAATTTGCAAGCCACACCGCCTGGGAGAAAAGTGAAGATTTCCAGACAGCATGCATCAAGTTCAAAACAGAAGCAAGTCCAGTCAAGAAATAATTCTCGTAGGCAAAAATTAGAAGGTGATAAGTCTGAGGTTGGCGAAAAGCGGAAGCGTGCCTTGCCATCATCCAGTGTAAGTATTCTTATTTCAAATACATGGTCAGCTCTTGGTGTACATTATTTACTTTATGTGTATATTTTTGTTTATTAACTCTACTTACTGTTCACAATTCCATATTTGATGTATAATGTTGTGCTTTAAAGCAAAGTTGTTTGATCTATCGTTGTTTATGTCCAAATTAACTACTTTATGGACTAATATTTGAACCTTTGTTATGACAGCAGTACATTGTTGTCATGTGTCGTAGTGTCCTAATTCTTGGCAAGTTGCGTGAGTTGCACCTTGTTGTAAATATGGACAGAAAGTAAGGTAGATGGAATTTAGATGAGTATTATGTGAGTCACTGGTGCTCATAAAGGACCATCGCTCATTTGCTCTATACACTATTAAAGTATTAAGAACCTGGCAAAATATTTTTTTTCTGCTTCCAGTTTTCTTTTGGTATCGCAACACTTTTTGCTCATTAGTTACAGTGTCCTAATTCTTGGTAGGCTGCATGAGTTGCCTCCTACTGTAAATATGGACAAAGAGTAAAGTTGATGGAATTTAGGTGGGCATTATGCTAGTTGTAGATGCTCATAAAGGACCATCATACATGCACTTGGGGTACTATGTAACACATGGAAGAACATGTCTTTTGACTACCAGACATCACTGTTGTATGCATAGGCCAAAATAACACAATGATGGAGGATAGCATCTTTATCCATGGTGCTTGTACTTATTTTGCAACACTAATTCCAATGCCCTAATTCTTGGTGGGCTGCATTAGTTGCATCTTGCTGTAAATATGGGCAAATACTAAAGTTGATGGGAAGTAAGTGAGTGTTCTTCAAGTCCAGAATCCTCACAAAAGAACTGTCGCATAGTCTTTTTTGCGGAGTCTATATTAGGTTACTTGGTCAGACTGTTGGGCTCTGTGGTATCTGGTATCCTTTTGTGTCAAATTCTTCTGTTCCTCTTATGTCCTGGTGCTTGTATGTCCAAAGTGTCCTTTTTGTTAGTCAACTTAACTTCTGCAGAATTGGTTTTGTAATTGTTCTTTGATGCATGTATGATTCATGGGAAGATCGTGGGAATGTTTGAGTAATTAATTTGTGTTTTCAAAAGGCTACGATGGGAATGAGCCACACACATCTTGTTTCTAGCCATTTGCTATTATTTGCTCCTTTGCCCTTTTTATGTACCAATGTTAGATTCAGTCATGTCAGAGCCTTGTGTTGGCTTTAAACAATGTATTCTTTCCAATTTCCAACTATTGTCGGTAAAGTTATGCAACTTTTTGTGTGTTTTAAAAGTAAGATAATGTTTATAAACCCTTATCTTGTGATTATCACAGAACACTTTATTCTTGAATATGATCTGCTTTGTTAAATGAACCTATGCATTGGTCTTTACTGTCTTAGGTCTTCAGTCCTGACTCCTGAATCCTGATTTGTGTCTAGTTGAGGTGCTAATTGTACGTTTTTTTTTCTTCATGAATTTCATACAGAAGTTTTATACATGCTGACAACATGTCCACCATGCAGGGTCTGCAACGATGTTCCGCAAGGCAGCAGGCGAAATCCTCTGCATCTCCAGTGGTCCAGCCATTACTCTTCTCCCCAATATTCCGGGTTCCAAAGGTGAAGACCCCGACTCCTCCATAGCCACAAGCAGTCAGTTCCCCCCAGGACCAGGTCACCAGGAGCCAGCCACAGTAGGTCTGATATCCTGACTTGTGCAGCTGTTGATAGGGATTGTGGCACTGACAGTTGATGAGGCTAACCTTAATTCCCAGGAACTGCATCTGCATTGCTCCTTTATGCTCCCAGTAGGTCATTGGTGTGTTTGTAGCATACTTGACGCAGCTCTTGAACAAAAAAAAAAAAATGTAGGCTATGTTAGAACGATTTTTTTCTTCATCTTTTCCTTGTGGAATGCGATGTGTATTATTTAGGCACACACCCTTGGTGGTGAGAAATTTGTCGATGCCCCATAGTGTCAGATTGGCTTGATCTGAATGAGTTCTGCGTAAATTTTTTTTCCATTGTTCGATGTATGAACTCTGAATGCCAGGAGGCTATGTATTTTGTTGTGTATATATGTAATGTACGTATCTCGTACATCGTTAACAACATCCATAAATTATTCTGTCTGATTTGATGTAGTTTGTGCCTGATGAGATGGATTCTATGAAAAGTTTTATTGGTGCGAATTATGACTCCGGTTGTTTTATATACGACTGCTGATAAGCCTTGGAAAGATACAAAAAATAAATAATTTGTGGGCAAAAATTCTGGATTTAGACATGATAGTTATGTTTTGCCATGAAGAGTCAGCTGTAGTGCGCTTGGTGTTATCTAGATTATGTGGTGTTAATTATGTTATGCAATTATCGGGGGTTGTATTGAATGAATGATGAACACTTAACAGGGACTCAGGGAGACTGCTCAATTTGTTGTGTTGCTTTGTAGTAGGTGGTTAACATTTTCTTCTGGTCGCCTAATGATTAACCACGCATCAGGTTTAGTGGTGTGGTGCTCAAGGGCTAAGGGCCGGTTTGGTTCATAGCCTAAAATGGCATTACCAATGTTTGGGCCACATTAACAGTACAAAGTATAATTTTGGTTTGGATCCAAATATTGGCTGGCCTATGCAAAACAATAGGTCACGCCATTGACAAGAGCCAAAACGCAGGCGTGAAATTTAAACTCTTGCGCGGGCTCGGACGACGCTCCATATCCAAGCTGCACAGTAGTACACAAGCAGAGATTCCCATTTATTGGCATCCACCTACCGCTCATCATCTTCTCTAGCCACAGGCCACAACCTATAGCTCCTCCAATCCCGAGCTAGAAGACACAGGAGTCCATCTTGCCATCCATAGTCATCTTCTCAAACAATCAAACCCATAAGAGCTGATCAAATGGGGTAGAAATTTTGGAGTAAATCTGCTGGGGAGGGGACGAGAGTGAGGCGGAAGGGTTCTGCTCAGGCGACAGAGGACGGCATACGGGCGCCGCGATTTCAGCTGCAGCTCTACTGACTCCGCCGCGCTCAAGTGCCATCACACAAAGGTAACCATTCCTTCCATAGAATGCTTTCCCACTTGTGTTGATAATAAAATTTCTGATGTATAATCTGCCATTAGCATCTTATGTACTAGTAGTAATAAAAGTTAGTTGGCCGAACATCTTACTAGTTTAGTGTTGATGCTTATTTCACCTGTACTTTATTAGTGTGTCCTTTTACATCTAAGTGAATATCTCCTTTTTTTTTGGATAAATCTGTATGTTGGCACAATAGTATTTGATTTTCTAAAGTAATTTCAAACTGGTAATCTGCTTCCAGATGGAGAGCAATCGACAGCAATATGTGCATTGCTTCTTGTTGAGGCAAAAGGCTGTAGTGATACTTCTGGTTTTGATCCTCGTCTGGTTGAGGAATAAAAATGGTAAAAGAAGTAAATGCAAAGGGGTACGGTATGGGCCCCTGATCCATAGGGATGTATGGAGAACAAGTGAATTAATTAGGTTGATCGACACTTCAGATAGGATATGCACACAACAATTGAGAATGCCCCGTCAGTTATTCTACAGGCTCTGTTCTCGTCTTAAGAACAAGGGACTACTAGTTGACACCTTTCATGTTTCAGTAGAGGAGCAAGTGGCAATGTTTCTGAAGAAGGTTGGACAACATCATTCAGTTCCATCTGTAGGATTCTTATTTTGGCGATCTGGTGAGACAGTGAGTAGGTATTTTCATATTGTGTTGCGGGCCATGTGTGAGTTAGCTCGAGAACTCATTTATGTCAGGTCTACCGATACACATACTAAGATCACCAGCAACCCAAACAAATTCTATCCATATTTTGAGGTAACTCTAAATACCAAGAGACAATAATTCATATTCCATTAACTTTTGTTTATTTCACTCGGATGTTTTTATTTTGTCTGCACTTAGGGCTGTATTGGGGCACTAGACGGCACACACATCAGGGCAAGTGTGCCAGCCAAGAAGGTGGATAGGTTTAGAGGCCGCAAGTCATACCCCACACAGAACGTATTGGCTGCTGTCGACTTTGACCTTAGGTTCACATATATCCTATCAGGTTGGGAGGGGTCAGCTCATGATTCTCTTGTCTTGCAAGATGCATTGTCGCGCCCAAATGGTCTTAAAATACCAGAAGGTAATTAAACATTTTGAAAGAATCGTAATTAGCCTTGTTGTAAGAAGATAACATTAGGCTCATATATGACATGATTGATGGTTGTAGGGAAATATTTTTTGGCTGATGCTGGATATGCTGCTAGGCCGGGTATATTGCCGCCATATCGTCGTGTTCGATATCACCTAAAAGAGTTTCGTGGCCCTCAAGGTCCAAAATGCCCAAAAGAGCTATTCAACTATCGTCATTCTTCACTTCGAACTACAATTGAACGAGCTTTTGGTGCTCTTAAGAACCGCTTCAAGATTCTTATGAATAAGCCATTCATACCCTTGAAAGCCCAAGCAATGGTGGTTATCGCTTGTTGTGCCCTTCATAATTGGATATTGGACGATGGACATGATGAATTTGTCTCCGATGAGGATACGTGGTATGCTCGCCTACCAAGGAGTAGTAACCGTGTCACTGACAAAGGGGCTGATGTACGTGAGTGGGCAGCCAAGCGTGACGATATTGCCAATCAGATGTGGAATGATAGAAACAACATAGATGTCCACGATGTTATGACCAGCGAATGAGTTACCAACGTATATTGCTTACAATCTTTGTTTTTTGTATTAACTGACTACCATTGTTCATATGAAGTGTTTTACTTACAATTCTCCTATGATGTATGCAGTATGGGAAATCGTACTGAAGATAATAGCAAGGAAGGTGGCTCTCGTGAAAAGTATATCACTTGGAGTGATGATGCCACTCAGTTCATGCTTGAGTGGTATATATCGCTCCGCAAGGACAAACCTACCACCTTCAAGTGGAGGAAACAACACCACCAGCAGTGTGCTACTGCTTTGAATGACAAGCTTGGACTTAGAGTCAACAGAAGCCAAGTCCATTGGCATTTCAGGCTATGCAAGGAAAAATGTAGTTGGATCTGTGCAGCCTTAGGAAAAAGTGGCTATGGTTTTGATGCAACATCATGCAAATTTAACATTGACCCATCGGAGAAGGAAGCAAACAAACTTGGTGTAAGTTATTCTATGATTGCACACTAGTTTGAGTTATAATTCATACAAGAATTGTTAAGTTTGTTTATTTCTAACCATGCTTCTTCTAATGACAGACAACTAAATACAACTACTTGACTAAGCCTATCAAATTCTTCCATCTCTTTGAAGAATTATTTGTGGGCTGTTCAAAAGCTGATGGCTCTCTTGCGATGGACCAGTTTACTGCTAATACTAGTAGTGATAGTGATGGCAGTGGTAGCATCAAGGAGTTGGAAGAATATACATTTCCACTGCAAGATGGTGGCAATGATTCCGACACAATACCTCGCTATAGTCCGACAACTGATGCCACTTCTTCAGGGCAGAAGCGTAAGTTTGTGAAATCACCTACCAAGAAGATTGTGAAGCATAAAACGAGCCGCCACAAAGCAGAGGAGGATGAGCTGATAGCTAGTATCCTTAGGCTTGCTAACTCTCTTGCATCTGCACAGTCTGTTGCATCTGTTGAAGTGCCCTCTGTAGGAGATCCAAATGCAAGTATTTGGAAGCGCATAGAAGACCTCACCATCCCAGCAAGTGACAAAATTGAACTTGCAATCTTTCTCACCAAGCCAGAACAAGAATGCTTTCGTTCTTATCTGCGAGTTGCAAGTGATGAAAGTTTCCAAGCTTGGGTTATAGATTACTTTGGGCGCAAATGTGCTACCGATGGTGGCTATGTCACTCTGTGAATCATTTGCCAGGTGGTGACATTTTGGTTAGGGAGCAATGCATTTTGATAAACCCATGTTACTGTTATATACTTATGATATATGCTGCCACTACCATATAGGGGATGGCAGTGTGAAGTATAAAGTAGGGGTTAGTGCAAACCCATGATGTAATATATGGCACTACTATGTGGGTGATTACGAAGTACTACTATGTAGGGATATGTGCAAACCAAAATGCTGTAATGCATGATGTGTTATTGCTGCACTAGTTATGGAGCTTTGAAGTCTAATTTCAGTCATACAGTATTTCTTTTATATAAACACGCCCAGCTTTGTTGCTGCTATATTTGATACAAGGAGGTTTATTTAAGAGAGAAACAAAGAATGATGTCAAAGAAATCAACACAGCAAACAAGAACATTTAGCTGCCTTTACACATATTCATTTTTCAGGAATTAGCTAGCAGTACCATTAACGGGAGGCAATATAACTACGATCAAAAGAGCTAGCAGTACTGCACATATACACCCGGACCACAAGTCCACAACCCATCATCAAGGGCTAATAAACACTTCAGTTTTTCACTTATTAAAATTTGACTACAAAATAAAGAAACATTAGGATCTGGAGCGCAGGAAGATATGAAAGCAGAGGTGAGAAGGTGAGGAATATGAAGGCAAAACAAGAAAAGGCATAGCCATATGAAGGCACCAAACCAAACTTGGTATAGCCAAAAATTGGCTAGGTCAATTTTGGCTACTAACCAAACTCAATTTTACCTTTCCAAACAATGTCCATAACAAAATATGCCTATGACCAAAATTTGGTAAGGCTCTTTTAGGTCTCAAACCAAACCTGCCCTAAATCTTTGGATTCTATCTAGTTCTACCTGCCACTGGGATCAATTAGTAAAAACTTAAAGCTTATTCTTGCACTACATTTGTGGCGCTGATATCATGTTGGATTTTTTTAGTCTCTTTCTCTACGTGATGTTGCATTTCTTTCCTTTAAAGTTTAAAGCCATCTAAATTTTAACCTCAACATGTGTAAGTAGAATTGTCAGCTCTTCGGCCAGTTAGTTAATCTCTAGTGTCTTTTTTTTTTCCTTGCAGCATGCAAAAGTATAGGACTCTGACTCCATAAGACTACAATGCATTGGACTATCTGAAAATTATCCGCTCTGATCCGCAATCGTTTTTTTTCATGGACAGAAACTATCTGCTCTATTTTAATCCCTATATCTTTAATCCGGCGTGAGTTTTTACTCCAATCTATAGTACAAAAATACAATATGCATATCTCCGGCCGGTTTAAAGAAAGTCCAGTCTTTTCCCGTTTCGTTTCTTGCGGCAAAGGCAGAAGAAGTAGAGGACCCGGACTCACGGAGACTGACGCGAGGGACCCACCCCACCCGGCCCAAGACTGGCGGCGCAGCTAGATCGAGACCCGGCCCAACACGACAGGAGCCCAGCCCACTGCCTCCTCTTATTAATTCGGCTATTCCTCCTCCTCCTTTCGTCTCCTCCACGCGACGCGATTTCTCTCTCCTCTTCGCTCTCGCAAGCCAAGTCGCAATCCCCCCAAACCCTCGCCGCCGCCGCCGCCGCCGCCTCCATGCCGTTCACCCCGGGGCCCTACTCCGGCGTCAGCACCCTCGCCCTCGTAAGCGCATCATGCCCTCTCTCTCCCTCCGTTCCTCCCGCGGCCGCCTCTGCTGGGGCGGCGGCGGCGGCTGCTGTGGCTGTTTCCAGATCGGATCTGACTTGAGTTTGATGATGATGCAGGTGGCTAGGGCGTCCGCGCTCGGCGTCGGCGTCGTCTACGGCGCCGTCAAGCTCTCCATCCTCAAGGTAATCTCTCTCTCTCTCCCCGACCTACCCATGATGATGGCCGGGTGATTACTTGGATGCTTGTGTTGGGATTAGATTGGATTGGATGGAACGGTCTGAGGTTAGATAGGATTGGATTAGATGGAGCGATGTGGGGCTGGAATCAATATCACCCTGGTTCTCCCCCGCAAAAAAAAAAATATCACCCTGGTTCTCTCATGCGTCCAGCCTCACTCGAGAATGTTGCCATGATTAGTTTTTGATATGTCTCCTGCTTGTTGGATCTATCAGTTTATTGTTTATATTATCTGTAATGTAGTAGAATCGATTAGCCATGATCAATTTATTTTGTTTCCATGTTTACTATTGTCTGTAATGTACTACTATTGATTAGCCATGTGCATGACTATGAATGAGCGATTGTCAGTTGTTCTAGAGTACATAAACTGAATATTCCACTGTGAGGCTCAAGAATACATATTTGTCCTAGTTTCGTTGTGAGTTGGCAATTTTAATTCCACCTTTTCAATCCCTTGTGGTTAAGGGCTTTGGATTGGGACATTTGAGAGGCAGTTTTGGTCTTGCATGAAGCGTTATCTGTAGTTTGCATGGCATTATTTGAATGTTGTGGTAATTGTTATGTAACCATCTAGGGGCTGGCTGAGTTAAATTACTAGTTTAACACCTATCAGGGAGACTGCTTAATTTGTTGTGGTGTTCTCGTATGTTGTTAGCATTTGCTTCGATAATCTCATGATGCACGTGCCAGGTTTATTGGTGCTCAAGAGTTAAATTTGTCATGTAATCTTTATATCCTGTTAGGTTATCCTTTGTTTGGTTAGGGCCTTAGTCGATACTCGAGAGGCAGTTCTGGTCCCGTGTGAAGTGTCATCTCTAGTTTGTGTGTTGTCGTCTGACTGTTGCGGTAAATTGTTATGGGATTAAGTTGAATGAGTTAACAACTAATAACAGGGTGATTGCTAAATTTTGTTTTGGTGTTTCTGTATGTGGTTAACATTTGCTTCTATCTCCTCGTGATGAACGTGCCAGGTCTATTGGTGTTCAAGAGAAAAATCTTCATATTCTAGTTCCGTTGAGTAGCTCCTGTTGCAGTGTGTTAGATTGAACTAGCCTTTGCTGATAACATCACATACTTGGTTTTCTCCTATGCTATTTTGTAACTAGCAAACCTGGTCCTGACGTTAGAGTATGAAATGCTTTTGGCACTCAACCTTGGCAACGTGGAAATCATTGCCTGGACACCTGATTGTGTTCAGCGTTGCTTTATTCTGTTGTATAGTTTCTATCTTAGTCCTCCAATATGGTTTCTACCACTGTGGTTCTAGTTAATAGAATTATCAATGATGCTATATTAATTGCCACTCTGTATGCTATCAAGATTTCTTTTGTCAGTCATCTTTTCTTATATTGTGTACATGTTTGTTCTCCAGGCGACAAAACCTAACAAAAAGGAGGCGGCAAATGCGCATCACTGAGGACAGGAACGCGTGGCGGTAACTCCAACGGAAGGATGTCATAAATTCTCATTGTACCCCCTCGTCTATACGTGCACCTGGTTTATGATTTGTGGACCTCTTTTCTGAAACCCAGCTGCTGGGAGATACAATTAATCTTAGTTTTGCTTGCTAATAATTTCTCGATCAAATGACTTGAAACGAAGAAGGGAAAAAGATGATCCAATTTTGTTTTGAACTCGTGTTAGAATTTAGGCCACTGGAAGCTATCTTGCAGTTGAGGTGAAATTTAGCCTTGTTATTGTGTTGATCCAGTTCTGTGGCTGCATTGTGTGGTATGTGTTTCTTTTGCCCCGTGAAAGCCTGAATGCGTTGCTCGCCGAGATAGCATAAACAACACTTGCAAATGCTAGTCTCGGCGCCAAGGTTATGGCTATATCCCACAGAGGCCTTTTGTGAATCTGCTAATTATTCAGGTCATCAGTTGGATCATGCCACAGTTTGGAAACTGTGTGTGTCTCTCATTCTAATATATAGATGTACTAGTTCGCTAGTTGTATGCGTATGAACTTGTTTTAAACGATAACTCTTACTGTAGCACCTTACTTTCTTTTACACCAAAACCTTTGCGCGAACCAGATTGGAGATGAAGAGGTCTCGGGAAGGGAGATGAAGGGATTGAGACTGCCTCAATGCCGGCTTTAGGACCTGTTTGGTCGCTACATATCCTGAGAGAAGCTGGCCCGACCTGAGACAAGCCTGAGGTTGCATCATGTGGGTTGTTTGGTTGCTTACTCTGAGATGGGTTACTTCGGCACAACAATAGTCAGGCGAGGCAGCAACGTTCTGGCACTGCACCGTGGGCCGGATAACTTGCCCCAGACGTATTTTGGCATAATGATCTTCATTTGATCTGAGGTCTTTCAAGGTACTCAGTCTTAACTCTTAACTACGGAAGTAGGAGATCTTGACCATTTCTTATGCATGATTTATCATCTTGAACAAAATGTTATGTGCTCCTTCCATTAATACATCATATGAAAAAAAAACCATTACTATTGCGCACAATTATCCTACTAAATTAACTTTGCATGTGAGTACCTACTAAAGAGGCAACATCCAATAAAAATTGGGGGCCTACTTGTTAACTGAACAACTGAATATATTAATTTTGGGTACTTAATTCCAACATTGAATATTGTAAGAAATATATTCAAATTATATAACAATAGCCAAATAAATTTTATACTTTGGCTGAAACTATTTATATTTTAATCTGAACCCCAAATTACTGTTCTCATAAAATAAAAGAATTAAACATCATTTAAAAATTCCAAAATATTTCAAGAATTCTATTATAAACTGAAAACAAAATCAAATCTATTTCAGTTTGTTGCTTCAAGTATAAAGTGAAAACTAAACCTCCTCTTTTTCCACGCCATGGGCACTGTCGTTGCCCTTTTTCCACGCCATAGGCATTGTGTTTGGATCCAGGGACTAAACTTTAGTCCTTATCACATTGGACGCTTGGACACTAATTTAGGGTATTAAACATAGACCACTTACAAAACTAATTGCATAAATGAGAGCTAATCTGCGAGACAAATTTTCAAGCCTAAATAATCCATAATTAGAGAATGTTTACTGTAGCATCACATGGGCTAATTGTGGATTAATTAGGCTCAATAGATTCGTCTCGTGAATTAGTCTAGGGTTATGAAATGTGTTTTTTCATTAGTCTATGTTTAATATTTCTAATTAGTATGCAAACATCCGATGTGATAGGGACTAAAATTTTTTAGCCCCATCCAAACTACCCCTCATGTTGCCAGATACACCAACCTACCAACTTCCTTTCTACTTAGGGGCGGATCCAGAACAAGATTTAAGTGGGGACTCATCTCCTCCTTTCTTCAGCCCCCCTACTCTTCATTTTCTCCCACTATTCCCCTTTCATCTCCCCTTCTATCAATGGTGATCCAGCAGAGTAGGGGGGACTCGAGTCCCCCCAGCACCTACGTTGGATCCGGCCCTGTTTCCAGTGGCTGAAGAAGTGGCTCCACCGTGGCCACCGCTCACCACCACCATGCTTCATGCACACCCTCTAACCTTCCTGTAAGCACTATTACAAAATCTTTAATACGGACACCCTCATATGTGCCGGTTCATCTAAAACCAACACATATGAGGCTTTTTTCGTCCTCCTTACCCCTCAAAGAGGGTTTAAAACTAAAACTGGTATCTATAACATCTTATAGCTTTGGTTTATTAAAAAAAAGATACTAATAATAAAAGTTTTTTTTAAAACGACCCCTATACTTGAGATAAAAGTGCCGGTTTTGAAAAAACCCCAGCTCTTTTAGTGGGAGCTAGCCAAGCTGAGCTGAGCCGATGCGGAGCGTGCGTGGAGTGGGAGGATAGAAAACAAGTATCGACGTCCTTATCCTCTCCCCTCCTCCATCCTTTTCCTCTCTTTTGCTCCATCTCCCATCTCCCTTCCTCTCCTCGGCGCTGCGTGGCACCTGCCATCTTTTTATCTCCCCTGTGTGGCATGCGGCGGCTATCCCCTGTGCACAATGGCAGTGAACACAACTTCCTCTCCCCTATGCGGCATGACGGTGGTGGCGGCTACCTCTTCCACTCCCTGGCCCAGCGCAGTGGCCACCGGATTTGGCCAGAGCTTGGGATGGCCAGATCCACGCGTGGGCGGTGTGCGGACGGACTTCTCCGCGATGGTGAGTGCAGGTTACTCCACGGCGGGGAGCGGGTGAATTCTACACCACCACTAACCTCGACTTTACCAGATCCGGCTACCATGATCTGTTGTTCGTTTTTTCATCTTATTCTTTCCCCTCTGATGCATAGGTGAGTGAGATTTTGGGCAAATCCCAGACACTTGATGAATAGCAGCTAGCTAGGCGGATAGAGTATTTATGGACACCAACAGGGAAGATTGGTGATCTAATGGGCTCCACGAGTCAAGTGTACACGCACCACCAGAGCGCTTTCATCCAGAAGCGGTGCATCCATGATAACTTTATGTTGGTCCGACAGTCTGCCAAGCGGTTGCATGAGAGGCACCAGCCTACGGCTCTCCTGAAACTTTGACATAGCCCAAGCCTTCGATTCAATCTCTTGGCAGTTCAATCTCGAGTGCTACAGCACAAGGGCTTTGGCCGCCGGTGGCAAGCTTGGATTGCCATCCTGTTCAGAACTTCCTCCACGAAGGTCCTTCTTAATGGTTCGCCCGGAGCCTCCATTATCCATCATCGGGGGGTGCGGCAGGGGACCCCATTTCTCCCATGTTGTTCATCCTTGCAATGGACGCTCTCTTGGCCCTCTTTGCCCTCGCGGAGAGTGAAGTGATCCTACGGCCCTTAGGTGTTCCTCACCGGATCTCCTTGTATGCCGATGATGTGGTCGCTGGGGAACTTGCTGCAGCACAAGGGATCCTTGCTCTCTTTGGAGAGGCCTCTGGTCTTCATACCAACTTTACCAAATTCTCCGCGATCCCGATCAGCTGCTCGGAGGAAGAGGTCGCAGTACTCGGTAACTCCCTCCCCTGCCCAGTTGAGGAGTTCCCATGCAAATATTTGGGTTTGCCTCTCTCCATCAGAAAGCTGCGTCGCGAGGACCTCCAACCTCTGGTCGATAGGATTGCGCAGCGGCTGCCACTGTGGCGATCGGATTGGCTCCAGCCAGCCGAGCGCCTAGCACTTGTCAAAGCAGTGCTGAGTGCGATCCTGGTTTACCTGCTCATCACCATTGCTCCCTCAAAATGGGTGCTGAAAGCCATCGACAAGATACGACGCGGCTTCCTCTGGTGTGGTCGTGCGAATGCTTAGGGTGGCCACTGCCGGCTGGCTTGGTCCCGAGTCTGCACGCCATTGGAATATGGGGGACTTGGCATCCACAACCTGGAGTTCATGGGAATCGCACTCCGTTCTAGGTGGCTCTGGGCTCAACGCGCCTCCCAATCCCTGTCCTGACAGGGGTTGCAAATCCTGTGCTCCAGACAGGAGTGCGAGTTTGTGGCTGCTTCCATGACCTGTGTTCTTGGCGACAGCAAGTTGATCCTCTTTTGGGAGGACAAATGGCTACAAGGTTCGAGTCTTCGCTCTTTGGCACCCGAGCTCTATGATCGCGTCCCGGTGCGTGTCCGCCGGAAGCACTTGGTCGCTGATGCGTTGGCCAACAACCTTTGGATCTGCGATCTCCATGGCTCCTTGGGAGTCCAGGCAATCTTGCAATACTTGCATATTTGGTCGTTGCTGCGGACAACAACTCTCTCCGAGGGCCATCCTGATTCTTTCATTTGGAGGTGGGAGAGTTCGGAGTCGTATTCCGCCCAGTCGGCTTACCTTGCCCTCTTCGCGGGCAGGATCTCGTTCTAGCACCTGCCAATCTGGCGGTCTTTTGCCCCGCCTTGGTGTCGCTACTTCCTGTGGTTGGTCGCTCACCGACGCTGCTGGACGGCTGACCGTTTGGAGAAGCGTGGACTGCCACACCCAGCCTTTTGTGTCTTCTGTGACCAAGTGGAAGAGACAATCGACCACATTCTGATTGGGTGCCCTGAGTCCCTCCAGCTATGGTGGACCGTCCTTTCAATCCTCGGCCTTCCTTAGTGTTTCCCCTCTGGCGCTGTTTCCTTTCATGAGTGGCACTGCTCTTGCCGGCTCTAAGTTCCGAGGGAGCGCCGTCGTGGGTCCGATACGATTGTGACTCTTGGCGCTTGGTCTATTTGGAAAGAAAGGAACAACCGTGTATTCAACAACCGTTCCCGGTCCTGGCCTGAGGTTGTCACAGCCATGGCGCAAGAAGCCGCCCTGTGGCGTCTTGCCCATCCCCTATCGCCAACGCTCCCTAGTAAGCGTGTTTGGTCGTTCGGTCGTCACATTGTAATAGCGAGAGTGGGCTTAAGTCTTTTTTTTTCCTTTTCCCCCTTTTCCCCTATCTCTCTTCTTTGTCTGCCGTTTGTATAAATTTTATTTCTTTTAATACAAAAGTGCGCAATCCTTTTGCGTATTCCCGAAGAAAAAGTGTACGCGCACCGCTGCTGAAAATTAAAATTACCGGCCCGGATGAAACAGTCACGCCTAACTACATGCCTTATAAATTTCCATACAAAATTATACAAATACCTTCCTGCTGGCTAGCTATCATGTAAGATGAAGCTATATATGCCTATACTAGCTAGTGTGTGTTGGTAACCCGTCCCTCTCTCTTATCACGTCCATAATACGTCGCCTATATATTTGAAACTATACACACATCGTCGTCTATGCCAGAAGAAGCTGCATATGGATGCATGCATCTGTACACAAGTAGTGTCGAATATACTGCTACTAGCTAGTCTCGACGACGGGGTCGATCAGGACTGTTCACCTGCAAACACTGCATGCAGTGACCCAAAAAAAAAAAAGAATTATAACGTCGAAAGCTAGCTAGAAGATCAGATGGAGGAATATTACAGTGAAGTGGACGCGAAGCAACGAACCCAACACACGCATTATATCTAGTACAGTAGTAGTAGTATATATGTATTGAAAAGCTAACAACATAATCTCCAGATCGTCGTCGTCTCCAACTACATTTCCACTTGATTGGTATCGGATCGTCGATCTCTCGTAGCTAGCTTTGCTTGCTGGTGTTTTGTCTTGTCTCCAGTAGTTATAACTGCTTAGCTGCTTGCTTGCTTAATCTCACTTGCTTCTCGACCAATACTCCACTTGTGATCCATCACATCATCATATATATATATATATATAGCATCTCATATCCATCCATATATAGATCCATGGGTATCTGTATACATATGTGTGTCTTACTTTTGATTCATTAGATGTGTCCATCAATCCATCCATCCATGCTTATTTTCTCAAGAATGCATGCAGATTCATCGAGTTATTACCTACCTAGCTAGCCAGATTAAAATTTCTGCTCAAGCTAGCCATCGATCATCTGATAGCTAGCTCGATCGATATATCAATTCAAGCTAGAGGAGAACACTGCAAGTCAGCAATGGCCGGCGGCGATGGCGTGACGGTGGTGGGGCGGGCGGAGATCGACACGCGGGCGCCGTTCAGGTCAGTGAAGGAGGCCGTCGTCCTCTTCGGCGAGAAGGTACTCGCCGGCGAGCTCCACGCCGGAGCCGGGCGGCGGCTACTCGCCACATCCGACCAGCTGCAGCAGGTATGTTGCATTTTCATAAATCAATCTGAAACACATATATGCAGATGATGACTGTCTTTTTAATAAGTCAAATGACTCCTCTGCCTTTAAATTCAGATTAATTGCATTGGTTATCTCTTTCGTTGATTAAAAACAATCGATACGGACAAACTGATCGAGGATTTGTGCCGCTCGATCATATATAATTGCAATGGACATGAGGATATATTTGTGCTCTGTCTTGCTCGATCCCAAATCTATATTGCTCATAAGTTTGTATTCCAAATTATAATTGATTTTCACGAGTATCAGAGCTAGTTAATTATTATTATTGCATTTCTTGACCAAGTTGGTGCTAGCTAGATAGCTGTTTGTTGCTTGCCAATGTGTTTACCTAGGTAGTGGCAATTTTTTTTTATTTTTTTAGAGAAGTGTATTTTTTTACCTAGCCTTTACATCCAATCGGATATATACAACCTTTTTAAATTAGGAACTTAGCCTATATCAAGCATGGAACTGCCCTCAAATAATCCAATCTAATGCCAATTTGCTTTATAGTTTTGTAGGGCACTTGATTTATTTAAATATTCACATTCATGTCTTTACCAGTTCTTCAGTTGATGGATGTTGCTGTCAAATGAGAAGTCATGCTAGCTAGCTAGCTATTCCTTTCTTCTGAACCAAGTTAAAAAGATGTGGCAATTAAACTAGCAGCTACTAGAAGCATTCTTTGCCATGTCCACGTGTCTTCTTTTTAAACATGCATGCAAACTCTGTTAGCTATTGGTGGTGATATCTACTACCAACCCAAGCACTACAAAATCAAAGCAAGCAAATAATTAATTATTAATACTTTATCTCCATCCAAGACTCTAAATGATCTTCTTTAAAAACACTCTCTTTTTACCACACAAAGTACACAACTAGCTTGTAAATAAGATAGTTACATTGGTGAACACATGGAATCAAATTGGAAAGTGTTTGCACTAGCTAGCTAGGACTTTGATATGTTCCTTCCACCTGAATTAAGGAACCTATAAAAGGTATAGTAGAGCTGCCTAGAGCCTTCATTTGATAATAATGTCATCAATATACAATACTGCCATTAGGCCCCCCTGATGATCGCTTTGGACATAATGTATGCACTAGGCTTTAGCTTATATGTAATTATATCATTTACCGTGTAAAAAATTACGATAATTTTATCATCCTTAATAATGTACCGGGAGGTAACACATTTTCTAGTATAAAACATAAAACCTCTATACACTAGGTAACTTGAGCTACCAAAATTTTTAGTGTAAAATTTAAATAGTTCAAGTTACTTTCTCAATGACTATAAAATTTGTCAAAAATTTAATGACCATACATCAACAAGATGTGCAAGTTATAAAATATGAACACATGAACCCAAATGGTAGAGGAAAAAAAATGAAGGTGTAATGAAGTGAGAAAAACATTGTTGCTTTACTTTGTTTTTCTTTGTAGATCATTGGAGTTACTATATATATATATCTGCCTCTGAAAACCTTTAATTTTCATTTCCCATATGCATTATATATCTTGGTCCAACAGAATCGTGCTACCACAACACCGCCGGCAAGATGGCCAACAGTTAGTCAAGTCAAACAAATCGCCGGCGCGGTGGCAGCGGCGGCGGGGGCGACACGCCACGCGCCGGCGATGGCAACGGCGGAGCTAGAGGAGGCGAAGCAGGAGCTGGAGAAGGAGCGGTCGGAGAAGAAGAAGATGGCCGGCTGCATCCTCTCCCTGCAGGAGGAGCTCAGCAACGCCATGAGCGAGCTCAACAAGCTCAAGGCACGAGACAACGAAGACGACGACGGCGGCGGCGAGGCGGCCGCCAAGGTGATCGACCTGCAGGTGGAGGATCTCAAGTTCGTCGAGATCGACGACGACAAGCCACAGCCGCGCCGACAGTCGCCGTCGACGACGGTGACGGCGGCGGCGGCGGCGGCGGGGAGCGCGTCCCCCGGCGAATTCCAGAAGAGGAGGTACGTGACGTTCGCCGACCCGCCGACCGTAGCATCAGCGGCGTACCGCGCGCCGCCATTGCCGGACGTGGTGGTGATGGAGCCGCATCACCATCGTCCCGCCGCGCCGCCGCTGTACCGCGAGGTGAGGTTCCAGAGGCAGATGTCGGCCGGGCACGAGGCGGTGAAGGTGGCGGCGGCGGCGGAGCAGGAGGCGAGGAAGAAGAAGAAGAAGCCGCTGATCCCGCTGGTTGGCGCGCTCTTCATGAGGAAGAAGAAGAGCAGCAGCAGAAGCTGCCATGACGACTCGGCGCTCAACTCGCGCACCGCCTTTTGATCTCATCCCTTCATGACATGCATACGGTATACGCGTATATATTTGTGTGCGAGAGGCTCATTTCAGCCGTTTGATCTTGGTGTATATATACGGTATTTGTATACGTACGTACCCCATATGTATGCATGCGTATGTATACTCTTTACCTGATCAGCGAGGGGTAATTAGACATGTATGTATGAAGACTGGAGTAGTTATTCAGGTCTGTTTTTAGATAATGAGATGAAATAAGTTTTTCGATTTATCGCTGCACTCACAAAGCAATGGTTTTATATTTCTCAATTTTTTTAAAAATTTTTTCATAACCATTTAAGTGACATGTAAATAATGATGAAATATCCTCTCGAGGAATTAAAATAATTTCCCAGTTCGCATGCGCCACTACTTCACCCCTATCCTCTCAGTCTCGCGCGTTCTCTCCTTCACCCTCATTCTCTCCGCCGCCACCTCCTCCTCACCTGCAGCTCAGTTGCCGTGTGTCCTCCTCGCCGCCATAGTCGTCGCCACCGCAATGCCTCAGTCCTCCTCCCCCACCGCGCCTCCTCCCATCCTCCTCAGATGACAGCGTATGATGAGGATAGTGCTCGTCGGCTGAAGATAATTAAGATCTGGAGGTGTACAATCACAATTGTGCTATGCTTTGTTAAATTCCAAAAAAAAAAACACACAATCACCCGGCATCCCATCTTGTCACATGGCATACTTCATCATGCTAGACCACAACTACCCCCTGAGTTCGTTTCCCGTCCACCATAACCAAGGTACATTGATATTAAGTACATGCACAAATATACACAAACATGAACTTATTTTGGTTATTATGTACTCCCTCCATTTTACAATGTAAGTCATTCTAGCATTTCCCACATTTATATTGATGTTAATGAATCTAAACATATATATCTATCTAGATTCATTAACATTAATATGAATGTGGGAAATGCTAGAATGACTAACATTGTGAAACAGAGGAAGTTACGGGACAGAGGTAGTACATATATATATAGTGGTAATATATAACTAATTAAACGTGTTGCATGCAGTAGTAACAGCGCGCACTATGCAGTCCTTTTGACAATTTTGGGAAGCTGCACAGGGTAGCGGTCGATGCAGGCGGCCCAGGGTCCATGGTGGAGGTGGTGATCTGTTGGCTTGATGCACTCCCACACGACGCTGCTGCAGTCGATACCTGGGCTGAAGGAGATCATGCACACCCGATCACCCTTCCTCATCCTCCCCTTGGCCTCGATGTACGCAAGCTCGTACTATACAGCAGCGAGCTGCTCGCCATGTTCCCGAACCGGTGCAGCGTCATGTGCGACGCCTCCATGTCGTCGTCGGTGAGCCCCAGCCCCCGCTGCACCTCGTCGAGCACCCTCCGCCCTCCCGGGTGGATGCAGAAGTGCTGGAACAACCTGTGAAATCCAGGCCGGTAGTAGTTGTTGTTGCTGTCCTTGGTGGTGGTGAAGAATTTGTTGATGATTTTGTGGTTGATGAAGGAGATGGCGACGCGTAGGAGCTCGGAGGTTGGGAGGACGGCGAGGCCGAAGGCGACGAGGTGGCCCTTGAGCGCGTTGGCGGCGACGACGGGGAGGTCCTTGGAGAGGTTGATGCCGGTGATCCCCTCGTCGTCCTCCTCCTGGAACGCGCACCGGTAGTCGCCGTCGCGCGCGGCGGTGAGCGTGCGCACGATGGGGCCGAGCCGGAACCGGGCCTTCTCCGGCGAGTTGGACATGATGATGGCGGCGGCGCCCATGCGGAAGAGGACGTTGGGCACCAGCATCTCGCGCTTCCTCCCCGTGTACAGCATCGACGACAGGATCTCGGTGGCGACGATCAGGACGCGGCTCCCCGGCGGCGCCACCCGGAGGAGGTTCTTGGCGAGGCCGATGGCGATGAGCGCCCCGCTGCACCCCATCCCGGACAGGTTGACGCTCCGCACGTCGGCGCGGAGCCCGTACCTCCTCACCACGACGTCGGCGAGCGACGGCGTCGGCGTGGTGAAGCTGCAGGCGAGGATGACCGTGCCGATGTCGTCGGCGGGGACGAGGCCCGTGGCGGCGGCGAACGCCTTGTCGACGGCGGAGAAGATGACCAGCTCGGCCTCCTCACGGGATGCCTCGATGCCACTCTCCGGGGGAATGTAGCGGAACGAGTCCGGGACGCTGGTCTCCTCGCCGATGCCGGACTTGGCATGCAGGCGGACCATGAAGTTGGTGCTCTCCTCGTCAAGCAGGTTGGTCATCAGGCGTCCGTGCTCCAGGGCCGTGGCGAACGGGACCCTGTGCCGTGGCTCGCCTAGGAAGCAGCCGTAGTCCACAAGGTACACGCCGCCCCGACGCCGACGAGCACGCCACAGCAGCAGCAGCACGCCCACCAAAACCAGGATCATCGTCGTCGTCACTACCATCATTGTACTACTCCTATTTGTAATTAGGACGTCAAAATGGAATGGAAGCAAGCCGACGAGCGCGCCATAGCTGAAGCTCACTGATGATGTCCATGCTCTCTCAACCATAGCCACGTAGGAGTACAACCACAAGAGCAGCCAGCTAGCTAGCCGACGTACGTACGTGCATGTCATGGCCGGTGTGGAGTGGAGGGATATTTATAGGGAAACTAATCCAACGGGATGACGGCGGGCTCCGTCGGCGTAAGAGCAAGTTTAATAGTATAGCCAACTACTATCTCCAATTCAGCTATAGCCAATCTAATAGCTTATTCATATAATAGTTACATACTACACTATTAATATCTAGTCCCACCTGTCATACACACATTGCTTCTTGGAGTCCGTGGTACAGCTGGCTATAAATCTGTAGCTCACTGTCCTTCTCTCTCCTCATTTATCTGCTTAAAATATATTTACAGCTGGCTTATAGCCTGCTATTATACCTGTATTTATTTGTTGGGAGTTGCAGGCTATGGCCGTCAATTAATGAGTGATTATTAATTATCTCTATGACTCTAATCCCGGTGGATGGGTGGGTGGTTGGTTTGGTTGGTTGGTGCGCGGCGCCGACGCGCGGGGATATTGATGGCCACGCCGGTCGCGTGGCTTGGCCGTGTGCCACCGCGCGGTCCCACGACCCAGTAACGCGCCGCCTGAGACTATCCCAACGCAAAAACTATGAAGCACTCCCTCACTCCGTTTCATCTTATAATAAGAAGTTTGACTATAAACGTTTATAGGTAGATATATTAATATTTATAATACAAAATTAGTTCCATCACATTAATAATTGAATACATTTTCACAATAAATTTATCTCAGGTTGAAAATGTTACTACTTTTATTTACAAACCTAGCCAATTTTAAAGTAGTTTGACTTTGACTAAAGTCAAAACGTCTTATAACCTGAAACGAAGGGAGTAGTTTTCATACTTATCATATCATGCAGATACTATATATAGAAACTATATGCCCAATGGATGTTGTCTTAAAATCAAATTCTCACCCAATCATTTCTCTTCTCTCTCATTTTATTCAACTATCCCCTTATTTTTATTCTTGTTTCTTGTGTATAGATGGTTTCTTGCATGAGAAATGATTTATTCATCTTTTTACTTCTCTCCTCATTAATTCTCTTGCCACATTAGACTTTTGCTTATGTGACAATATATTTAATGCTATGGATACTACATGACATGGAGGGTTGGGGATGGCCTGAGTGCACGAATGCTACGTGCATGCACGGCGGTGTGGCTGTTCCTCGGGAGGAAACTAGCTTGTTCCAAGTGCTGTAATCGAGGCGCTAGGTATGGGGTTTCCTCCCCCAGATCTAGCCAACGATGTGGTGACGTTGACAAAGCGGGGTGGCGTGGCTGCTGGGCGATGACGGCAGAGCGGAGGTTCCTTCCCCTCTCCCCTCCATCTCGTTTCCCTTGCCTCCATTCATGATGGGGTGGCGTGGCATCAAAAGCAGGCGGCGAGGGCGACCCTGGCTGGTTGGGGCGGCGCGGTGGAGATGACCGGGTGTTAACGTTAAAATTTGGTAAACCCCGGTGTTATCATCGGCTTAGAGTCACTATCGACTTCAGCATCTTAGAATCGGTCGATAGGAATTGTCAAGACAATATAATTACTCTTGGCGCATCGCCACCCTCTTTTTTCTGACAGGGGCTGCGTCGGCTACACGACGTCGCCGAGCACGCCACAGCAGCACGCCCACCAGGCCGCCACCATCACCAGGATCATCGTCATCATCACTACCATGATTATACTACTCCAATCTGTAATTTTAGGACGTCAAAATGAAATGGAAGCAAGCCGACGAGCTCGCCATAGCTGAAGCTCACTGATGTCCATGCTCTCTCAAGTATATATATAGCCACAGCCACAACGTACAGCAGCTGCCCACCTTACCTAGCCGTGAGTTCTCGATCTATATATGATTGACTGCCTGCATGTCATGGCCGGCGATGTGGAGGGAGTGAGGGATATTTGTAGGGAAATTAATCCAACGGCATCCTGTAATGTGGGCATAAATTGAAGGAGATATAGGGTGTGTTTAGTTCTTTGGGTGTAAACTTTTTAAAGTATACGGACACACATTTAAAGTACGTATTAAACGTAGACTAATAACATAATAAATTACAGATTCTGTCTGTAAACTGCGAGACGAATTTATTAAGCCTAATTAATTTATCATTAGTAAATGTTTACTGTAGCATCACATTGTCAAATCATGGCGTAATTAGGCTTAAAAGATTCGTCTCGTAATTTACATGCAAACTGTGCAATTGATTTTTTTTCTATATTTAATGCCTCGTGCATGTGTCTAAACATTTGACGTGATGTTTTTAGCCAAAATATTTTGATTTAAACAAAGCCCACAGTATATGTTTCTTAGTTAATTTATTTGTTGGGAGTTGGCTATGGCTGTCAACGAGTGATTATTATCTCTGGACTATCCAGGTGAGTTGGGTGGGTGGGGATTCTAAATCCTGTGCAGAAATGCAGAGAGCAACTACTGTCGCCCGCCACAAGATTCCTCGTTTAGTAGTACTATATAAACAGTACGCACAACACGTGCCTTTCTTCTTGTTTTTAGTAGCATACAAATTAATACTACCCTCGTAAAAAATAGAAAAAAAAACTATATTATATATAACCTACGGCATTAATTCCTATCCGAGCCGATTATCGGGAGCCTGTGGGCAATGACCATAATTAATTAAACTGAAGGTACATGTTTGGTTAATTGGGGGTTGGCATCTTAGCTACGTGCAACTGTATCAATTAATATATACATGGTATCGTACCGTACGTACTCCCTCAGTCCCTCCCCACCGACCCTCAAAGAGTGATGTGGAAATGCCATGTCTAGCTACTTCCCTTGATGCCATCCAAATATGTAAAATCAAAGTGTTTTTATTCTTATTCTGTGATAAATAATTGGTATGTGGGATTATTAGTTTTCATATTTAGAGATTATTGGCGAAGTGATTTTGGAGAGATGATTAGTTTTGCAGGTGATATACAGGTACTGTTGTTTTGTCCGACTCTGTGTCGGTTTCGGTTTCGGGTTGTTTGATTGGATATACGTGATTAATATGTCTTTATGGTTTCTAGATGGATACTATGCGTATGTAATAATATTGTTTGCTAATAATGAGTCAAGTTGGAAATAGCTTGGTATCAGAATATGATTTCTTTGTTTGATTCATATGTAGGTGTCTTGATGCCTCGGGAAAGTATTGCCGATGATGGATCAGGAGTCAACTTGGAGAAAGATGACGTTCGGACGGTCAGATATCATGTGGGATACTTAGGCTAAAGATCAATGCACGTGGTTGGTGAATATTCCATATGGCATACGATGGAGATATTATGTGCGTATGGGATGTGGAGTCGAATTTGGAAGGAGTCCAAATTTGGTACGATGGGAGTTTGTAAAGTTGGTTTCTTGTACGGGAAGGTTACCTAGAGGGATTAGGACTTCTTATAGAAGTTTGGTTCATGGCTTTAGGCTGCCTACCTCGTGTATAAATAGAGAGGGAGGGTGAGGCCTCCTGGTATTGCTTTAGAGAGCATTGAGTTGTGAGTTTAGTTAGGGTTTCGAGTTTAGTCGAGATTTTCATGAGGAGCGTTATTGTTGCACTTTGTAAACACAAAGATAACTAATAAAGCTGTCATCTACTTTAAGAGTTCTTCAATTTGTGTTTGCTCGTGTTCGGCGGTCTAACCGGCGAGACACCAACAGTCAGACCAGCGGCAACATGGCGGTCAGACCGGTGTCGGCAACAGGAAGTAGAGGCGGCTTCGGGACGATTGGACCGGACGATCTACATCGGTCAGACCGACAGTAGTGGCTCGATTAGTCCGGCGGATCAACTCCTATCAGACCGATCAACATCGGATTCGAGGGTAACTTTTAATTCTGCTAAAAATTTTGGTTTTTGGGTACTACAACCATTCATCCCCCTGGGTTGGCTTAGTTATTGCTGTTCGGTCCTACAAAATACACTACTAGACCTGCAATATACGACGCAATAATAAAACCACCACAAAGTTGGTCGTTAATTATAGCTAGGAATGAAGCCCGCGCAGATACGCGGGTAATTTATTTATTATTGTTTGTTAAAAATACTAAAAAAGTCCTATCTCACCATATTAAGACCATAGATTACTTTATATAACCACTAAAAAATATTTGTACCATAAATGCCAATCATATTGAAATAAAAACATAAGACACTTTGTTCCGATTATATATATAAATTCACCTGTCACCACAACTTATTATCATCGTCTTGAAAGATGGGTATTCTTTTAATAGATGGAATTGTATTTGTACCTAAAAATAAACCCAATACATCATTAATACCATAAAAGTTCATCTCCACTTTGTACCAAAGTGTCCATGTCTCACACTCATTTCAAATCTATATATAAATACTTGAAAAAACTACTTCTACTAACTAATACAATAAACTATTGAACTTAGATATAAATTGAACCATTGTATTTGTTGTAATTAAATCTGTATAACAAGATCTCACGTGATTATATTTTGATAAGAAATAATTACATTCCTAATTGAAATATTTTTTATCTTGCATGAAACATTAAGTTGTAACAACTGAAACATTATAAAATACTTGCTAAAAATCTAGAATGCCGTACAACATTTATAAATTAACTAGTGAAATATTAGAAAATATTTCTTGAAACACCACGTACAACATAAAAGATCTACTATAAAAAAACTTAAAATATGCAACATAGTTAATAGAATTTCAATTGAAATATTCACTTCTCGCAAGTGAAACATCTTTATATTATACGTGAAACATCAACTCATTTACTACTAAAACATAAAAAGAAAAGAACTGCGTGCAATATTTGAAAATGAACTAGTGAAACATAACCTGCAACATTACAAAAGATCCATTGAGAAAAACTTAATACATGCACATTGTCAAAATATTTGCTGAAACATATGAGACATAGAAATGTAACGTGGAACATTGTAAATCCATTAGTAAAACATCAATAAATACTTGTTGGAACATTACATTAGCATTGTGTGCAACATTTAAAAAGTCAAAAAAAAAGTTGTCAGAATATAGTTATGTGATATCTTATTA